CCTGTCCACCATGGTGAAACCCCATCTCCACTAAAAAATACAAAAGTTAGGCCAAGCATGATGGCTCACGCCTGTAATCCCAGCACTTTGGGAGGTGGAGGCGGGCAGATCACAAGGTCAGGCGTTCAAGACCAGCCTGGCCAACGTGGTGAAACCCCATCTCTACTAAAAATACAAAAAAATTTCGCCAGGCATGGTGCTGCGTGCCTGTAATCCCAGTTACTCAGGAGGCTGAGGCAGGAGAATCGCTTGAACCCAGGAGGTGGAGGTTACAGTGAACCCAGATCATGCCACTGCACTCCAGCCTGGGCGACAAAGCGAGACTGGTCTCAAAAAGAAAAAAAAAGCCAGGTGTGATGATGCATGCCTGTAGTCCCAGCTACTCGCAAGGCTGAAGCAGGAGAATCACTTGAACCTGGGTGATGGAGGCTGCAGTGAGCCGAGACTGCACCACTGCACTCCAGCCTGGGCAACAGAGCAAGTCTCTGCCTCAAACATATAAACAAATAAAGGGCAGGTCCCCCTGTCAAGGGATTTTAGTCTGGGACCTGAATCGCGTGAGGGGTCCCCACCGACCTCTGTACCCCAGCAAGCTTCCACAGCAGTCCTGCACACACCCCTGTGCCACCACGACCCCCCAGCCCCCCACCGCCACCAGCCGTTCCATCCCCGACCCCTGCAATGCCTTTTGTGCTTGTGTTTGGACGCCCCTGGAGCCATCCCCGCCCCCGAAGCTGTAGCTCCCTCCACTCCTCCACCCCCTCCCTCCCCTAATCTCCGGGCTGACGAGCTGTGCTGGGGGGTGGGCAGCAAGGCAGACCAAACTGAGCCGACCCGGCTCCCTCACGCCCCGCAGAGCCCCCCAGGCATCATGAGCGTCCTGGACGACGTGTGCGCCACCATGCACGCCACGGGCGGGGGAGCAGACCAGACCCTGCTGCAGAAGTTGCAGGCGGCTGTGGGAACCCACGAGCATTTCAACAGCTGGAGCGCCGGCTTCGTCATCCACCACTACGCTGGCAAGGTGTGCCCCCTCCACCAATCCTCCCCTGTGCCTCCTCACAGAACCCCAGGACTGGGGCTGTAACCCTTCACCTTCCAGCACCCAGGCTGGAAAGAGCCTGCTAGTATCCTCAGCCGGGGCTGTAGAATTCCACCGCCCCCCTGCCTCAACCCACTCCTTGCTAACCTGAACTACAGACCCTTCCCGCTGACCCCCCAGGGACTCTCTAAGCCCCAGACTTGTCTGGACTCCACCACCACCATGTTCCCTGGGCCAGGGCTGTAGAAATCCACTGGCCCCTGATCCAGGCCACAACTTTCCTTACTAACACACATCTCCTAACAGAGGGAACAGAATTCCGCCCCCCGCGCCCCCCCCCCCGGCCCCCGCTCCCCAATTAACCCCAGCTTGGGCACCAGACCCCCTATGCTCATAGATAAGCCCCAATGTGAGTTGTAACCTTGCACCCTGGCCTTTGCATGTCCTCTCCTCCTATTTGGAATGCTTTCTGACCACTTACCCAGGAGGCTCGCTGCTACCAAGTCCTGTTGCTTTGAGGTCTTTGTTCAAGTGTCTCTTCTTCAGAAAGGTGGCTCCAAATATCACCATGGAAAACAGCCTTCCTCTCCATTTTCTTTCTTCCTTCAGACTCTTTTTTTCTCTCCATATTATTTTGCACCACTCCACACACTGCCTTTATTTCTTAAAGTCTTTCACTGATACAGAATGCCAGCTTAGGAGCCCAATGAGACTGTTTCGTTCATAGCTGTGTTGCCAACAGTGCCTAGAACAGCACGTGGCACACAGGAGGCTCTTGCGCTATCATGCATGAGTGAATGAATGGACAAATGGCCTTAGATGCCATGTATATAGTATAGACTGCAAGGACACAGGACGCAGCCCCCCACCTTCTGATCCCAATTTGGAGAGGAAATCCCCAAAGCCCCCAGGCCCCTCCTGTGAGCCAACAGCCTTCAAAATGTGCTGAAGCCCACTACAGACCCCTATCCAAGGCTACAGAAATCCACTGGCTTCCAACCACACCCATAGCCCTGCTCCCCAGAGGACAGGACTATAGACTCACAGGCAGTGATCCGATGAGCTCACAACATGAGCAGCAGATGTTCCTAAGAGCGCCCCTAAAATGGTCTGGAGAGGCCGGGAGCGGCAGCTCATGCCTGTAATCTCAGCACTTTGGGAGGCCAAGGTGGGTGGATCACCTGAGGTCAGGAGTTCAAGACCAGCCTGGCCAACATGGAGAAACCCCATCTCTACTAAAAATACAAAAATCCAGCTGGGTGCGGTGGCTCACACTTGTAATCCCAGCACTTTGGGAGGCTGAGGCGGGTGAATCCCAAGGTCAAGAGATCAAGACCATCCTGGCAAACATAGTGAAACCCCATCTCTACTAAAAATACAAAGATTAGCTGGGCATGGAGGCACGCACCTGTAGTCCCAGCTACTCGGGAGGCTGAGGCAGGAGAATCACTTGAACCCAGGAGGTGGAGGTTGCAGTTAGCCAAGATTGCACCACTGCACTCTAGCCTGGCAACAGAGTGAGACTCCATCTCAAAAAAATTATATATATATATAAAATATTATATACATTATATATATATAAAATATTATACACATTATATATATATAAAATACTATATATATATATATATACACACTCAAAAAAAATCAGCTGGGTGTGGTGGCAAGTATCTGTAGTCCCAATTATATATATATTTATATATAAATTATATATATACAGGTAAATTTTATATATATATATACACACACACACACACAAACACCAAAAGAAAATTAGCTGGGTGTGGTGGCAGTTACCCATGGTCCCAGTTACTCAGGGGGCTGAGGCAGGGGAATTACTTGAACCCAAGAGGTGGAGGTTGCAGTGACCCGAGATTGTGCCACTGCACTACAGCCTGGGCAACAGAACGAGACTCCTCTGTCTCAAAAAACAAAAGCAAACAAACAGAAAGGGCTGGAGCTCCCATGTTCCTGAAGTCGGGGTTGCAAAAGCCCTGCTTGGAACTACAGAGAGCCCCCAGCTTTGGTAGCAGCCCCGGCCCCCAACCCTGGCTGAAGCCCCCGCAGGGATTCCCTGAGCCAGAGCTGTTACCCTCCTAACACAGGCCCCCCACACTGGCCCCCGATTGACCAGGTCAGAGACACCCAATCTAACTTCTGAGGCTACAGGCCCCCGCCCCACGAATCCGAGCTATAACTGTCATTGCCGCCCTGGCCTCTGATGTAGGCTGCAGCTCTCTTCCCACTCATCTAGGCTGTAGCGCCCACCTCCCCTCATCTCTGACCTGGGATATAGCCACAATCCTCTAACCTCAACTTGAATATCAGCCCCCCAGGGAGCCCGACCCCTATCCCCTGAACTGTAGATACCCTGAAACAGTGCTGTAGACGCTCCCTGATCCTCTCACCCCAAAACAGGTCCCAGGAAACCCTTGACTACCCGGGCTGAAAGCACCCTGCGCCCACCCTCCCACCCAGGTCTCCGTCCCTCACTGTCCTAAGCACTGCCTCCCTCCAGGTCTCCTACGACGTCAGCGGCTTCTGCGAGAGGAACCGAGACGTTCTCTTCTCTGACCTCATAGAGCTGATGCAGACCAGTGAGCAGTGAGTGGTCTTGAGCATGGGGACCTCTGGCTACAACCCCCCAAGGGGATGGAGGGAGGACCGGGCACCACCCCATCTTCCCCAGAGTTGCCATCTCGCCACAAACCTTAGAGGAGTGGCTGTGTGGCCAGGATGGTGTTTCTGTGGACTAGTTCTGATGTAAAAAATAACTCCAGAGGCCAGGCACAGTGGCTCATACCTATAATCCCAGCACTTTGGGAGGCTAAGGCTGACAAATCACCTGAGGCCATGAGTTCCAGACCAGCCTGGGCAACATGGCAAAACCTTGTCTCTACTAAAATTATAAAAATTAACCAGGCATAGTGGCTCACACCTAGCAGGCAGATGATGAGGTCAAGAGATCAATACCATCCTGGCCACATGGTGAAACCCTGTCTCTACTAAAAATACAAAGATTAGCCAGGTGTGGTGGCACATGCCTGTAGTCCTAGCTACTGGAGAGGCTGAGGCAGGAGAAAAACTTGAACCCAAGAGGTGGAGGTTGCAATGAGCTGAGATTGCACCACTGCACTCCAGGCTGGTGACAGAGCGAGACTCCATCTCAAAAAAAAAAAAAAAAAAGATTAGAAATATCCATTTAGCCATGCTATTGAGGAGCTTTCACACAAGCTAATATCAAGAGAA